GAGAGAGAGAGAGAGAGAGAGAGAGAGAGAGAGAGAGAGAGAGAGCGCGAGCGCGTAGGCCGGCGAAATTTCGACAAATTCATTATTCATCCTATGCCTTCGATCGATTCGAATCAACACGATATTAAGATATTTTTTAGAAAATTGTTTTTGAAAATTTTGGAAAATTTTTCTGTCTTTTTTTCTTTTTGGACAAGTGGAATATTAATTAGATGATTAAATTACGAGAAATTATATGATTGTAAGATGTTTCGAATTATTTTCGTTTATATCTTCGTCTTTTACTTATCTTACTTTTAATTGATATTTTTCTTATTTCTTTTTTTAAAAATCCAAATTTTTTTTTTTTTCACACATCCGCTTAAACTATCGATATCTTCGAGATTAATTCAAAGATTAATTCATTTTGGATAAAATTATCCAATCGCAAAATTCGAGAAAAGAAACATTGTTACGCTTCGAAGCGTGATTAATTTGTTTAGGACGTGATCCTTGCAAGCAAAAGCGTGAACGTGATTATACGAAACACGTGACTTACGTGAGCCAGGCTGGCGACCGCGAGGCCAAATGTGAACGCTATGTGAACCACCGTTGGAGGATCGTTGGCCGTCCACGTGATGCAGGATGCACAACCGATCAGCACGAGAAGAAAGGTTCCCAGGGTTTCGGCCAACAGCATCACCAAAAACTCGACCTTCGTCACCTCTTCGAGGCCGACGAAATCTTTCGCGCCTGGACAGAACGAAGAAGAAGAAGAAGAAGAAAAAGAGAGAGAGAGAGAGAGAGAGAGAAAAGGAAAATAACACGTATTATGTTGTCGAGCGTCTCTCAATTGCAACATTTTGTTGGTAATTAAACGATACACGCGAAAAGGAGACGCGTTTCACTCCCGTCCATCCATTATTGAAACGTCAAAATTCGTGTGTATTCGACGAACGTATATGAATATATAAATATTCGTCATTGTCGGTGCCGACGACTGTGTTGTTGTTGTTTTTTTTCTTTCTTTTTTTCTCTCGCGAAGAAACGTCCCGTATATATGTATATATATGTACTTGTTTGTCGGTGCATCGATCATCGAAATACGGGGTATGAATTTTTAATACATTGTACCAATAGTGTTTGCCTTTCGTCTCTCTCTCTCTCTCTTTCTTTCGTTTCCTTTCTCCTTTGATTCTTTTTTGGAAAAAAGAGGGAAGAGAAATTACGTAATCCACGAGGATGGACGACGTGGGTGACGCGAATTTGCAGTGTTCTATAAAAGTAAAAGAGAAAAAAAGAAGGAGAAGAGAGTTTTTTCTTGATACGAATGTCGAAATTCTATTTCTGTGGTTATATTATATCGATATACCACGTTACGTAACGTATAGAAACAATATACAAAAATCTTATATATTTAATAAGTTGTGATTAAATTATTTGCGATATCGTTCGAAATTTATGCGAAAGACGAAAAGCAACGAAAAAAAAAAAATAAATATAACGATTGGCGTATGATTATAGCACGATAAGGTGAATAATAACGAACCTTTAAGGTTTTTTTTTATTCCGATCGAGAATTATCATCAAAATTATATAACCTCAAAAATCATATTTCAATAACATTATCAAAATTATATATAAATAAAAAATTTGCATCGAGTCAAAAAAAGATTGAAAGAATCGATATAATAATACAACGTTTTTAGTCTCGTTCTCTCGACGAACATTTACAAGAAATGGAAAGTGAAGTAGCTTGGGAACCACGTACCTTTCCAACCCTTGCCCATCCTCCTCTCGATACAATCTCACACGTTTGCCGTGCAACGCACACCACAACACCTTCTCCCTCGTTCCTACCACCCTCGCTTTTCCCCAACAAGGACGAGCTCGACAATCTTCGAATCGGTCACTCTCATCGGTACTCGGCCACCATCTCGCCCAATGGTGTATCGATCGCGGGGAGAAACAATCCTTCCCCCCTCCCTCTCCCACTTTGTCCAAAGACAAAGGATCTTTCGCCTTTCGAAACGAGAAGACAATGGTGGACGACTTATCACCCCGTTTATATCTCCGACTATCGCGACGGTTTTATCGGACGTAAAACTGGGAAACTGGGATCGAGCAGCTGGGTTTCGAAAAGGAAAACGCGTTTGAAAATCGTTCGAAGTGACTTCTCGTGTAACGGTCAGGAGGAAGAGGAAGAAGGAAGAAGGAAGAAGAAAGAAGAAAGAAGAAAGAAGAGGAGAATGTGTTGTTCCGTGGTGTACACGAACTCGCGATACTTCCACGATACACCACGTGGAGTCTCTGTGGGCTATTGAGTCTGTGGAGCGCGAGTTTCGCCTTCATATATCGCTGTTCTCCATCCTTCTGTCCTCCTCCCTCCCCGCCCCTTTTCCCAATCGACACGCGGATCCCCCCTTCCCCTTCCATCTCCTCCTCCTCCAGCCTCTTCATCATCGTGCAGCCCCACCAAAAACTCATTGAAAACTGATTGGTGTGTTTCGGTGTGTGTTTCTGCACGTTCTGAATCCCGAGGATCCACGAATCCTTTCTTTTTTTCTTTGATCCAAATTTTTTTTAAATTAGATTACAATTCGAAATTGGAAAATAGATTTGGATATAATATAATCGAGTGGATATATAACTTTTTGAGTTTTTTCGAAGAATTTATTTTATTCTTCGAAACATTGATAAATTGAATTTCGAATTTTTTTTTTTTGGTACAAAGGAATGGGGATTAACAACGATTACAGCAATGGTGGTAAGTAAAAGTAATCTACGATCTTGATAACATGGTGATAGGTTGAAGAATGGAAAATGTTAAATAATGAGATTATCGATAGGGAATGAGCGTTTAATGATAATTATTCGGTATTATCAAGCACGGGATTATAAGGCAGGTATTTATGCACGGTTGGCGTGTTACGTGATACGATCCAGTACTTATTTTCTATGATTTATATCGAAATTCTTTTCGTTGATTGAAAATTATTATTAATCGACGATTTCTCCTTTAATAATCTAATCTTTTTTATCTCGAAGAAAGAAATTTCCATTGATCCGCTCGCCGTTACTTACTTAATTGTGTTTAATCTCAATCTCTTGTGTTTTACTTATTCGAATTTTAATTTAAACGTAGTTGAAACAAATCGAGAGGATACGTTACTTTTTTAAAGAAGAAGAAAAAGAAGAAGAAGGGATTAAAAATACGTAAGTAAAATTTAAAATTTAATGTATAAAAATTATTTGAACACAATTAAGCACGTAAAAATGAAATATCGTTTCCTGAAATCTTGAAATCTCGAAAGATACGATCTCGAGGAGAAATTTTTTTTTCGTCTTGAAATATGACGAATAACCACTTTATAACATCATTTAAGTCACATTAGACCTAACTTTGTATGATTAAATTCGTAATTTTTTCTTTTTTTTTTATTTTTTTTTTTTTTTTTTTTTTTTTTTTTTTTTTTTTTTTTTTTTGCGTACTTAATTTTTCACCGCGAAGAGTATTAATTTTCAACATTCAACAATTTGTCATAAACTGGCAACTCTAATTGCTTAAGTGTGCTCAACAAGTGTGCGTTATAAAACAGTTTGTCTCCTATAATATCCTTTTTAATTCATTTGCAGTCGCGAAAAACCGGGAAAAACACTTCTCATGTTAAAAACATTGACGGGAAGTTAATGTCGAACAACTGCGTGCCGCATTACATATGCAAATCAGGCATCCTCGACGTGACGTTGCAATTGTTCCATAAGAACGTTCCATAGGAAATTCATACGAGATTCATGGAAAAACACGATTTTCTCATCGACCGTGAAAATATAAATTAGCAAGTACATTTGTTTTCTTTCTTTCCTTTTTTTTTTTTCTTGTTCTTACATAAAACATCAATGCCAATGATGATCTATCATTTTTAATTGAAAAAAAAGATAGATTTTTCATTTTGAAAGATTTAATCTCGATGAGTTTTGATCTTTTTTGAAATTGCGATCGAATCGTGTCTTACAAATTTTTACTTCCACTTTTTCTCTCTCTCATTCGTTTCTTACATAATCCAGTTTTAAACTAGACGAAAAAAAAGGCGATCGAGCACGTTCGTAGCAAATGTTATCAAAATTATTATAATATTCGTCATTGACATTCAATTATATCATCTTAATTTTCAATTTCGTTAAAATAGGAAAAAAATGCAAAAAAAATTCTTAGATCTTTATCTTTTTACGCGATAATATTACATCGCAGCATTAATTTTCCTTTAATCTTTATTAAAGCCAAAATTCTAACCTCTACATCCTCCGTAGTGCACGAAAGATTACGATTAAAAATGTTCGCTAAATTGTTGCCAATAATACGAGATCCAATCACGTGTGTTTGTTCCGCTGACATCATCGAGTGGAAAACAAGGTGATATCAAGATAATTACGACATCACGGGTCAACAAATGTGTATGTAAATACGTATCTAACGAAACGGTATACATTTTCGTTTCCCACTTTTATCAATGGTTATCTACGACCGAGCGTTGTTCTACACGGGATAGATAACTATGTTGATCGAATTCTTTCGGATTGCAAAAGTGTATCGCATCGCATCGTTACACGTCCCTCTATAGTAATTAAACGGTATTAATTGGGCCACTTGCGCAGTAGTCTCCTGCGCAAATAGATCCTTCGCGCACCTGCTGCTTTATTTACGTTATGCTACCAACTTATTCGATGCTACCAACTTTTTCCACGCTAATTCTTTTTTATTGATTCGCCTCGCAAGATCTATCTCGTTGCTGTTCGAATGGTGTATCAATGTAATAATTCGTTAAACAAAAAAGGAATTTTCTTTTATAGTCACTTGAAAAATGCAAATTATCGATCTAATTAGAAAATAGCGTGTATGAAAGCGCACGGTTGAAAAATATTTAGGTTTTTCGGGCGGTTATTTTAATTAAGTACCTTTAATTGGACTCGTGTACCGTCAAGAAACAGCGTCTGTTAACTATCAGCAGCTAGAACACCTGTGTCCACTCGGATCGTTCGTGGGTAAGCGAACATGAATGGGCAAGAAAAAGATCTCTCGATAACTCTACAGAGTGATCCAAAAGTGTAATAAAATATATATATATATACGATTCGAGAATACGCGAGCAAGAAAACTGCTGCAAAGCACAACTTTATATAATAATTGAAATTATTATTAATCTTTTTAACGTCGCAAGATAAGTTCGCTATTTAATTGTACGAAATGTCATATATTTAATATATCACACTTTCATTCCTGAACCGCGCCTACATCATTATTAATTCGTGGCAACGAAGCATAAGCATAAAATGTCAAAACGTGTACGAGAGATACGGAGACGATTCTCGTTCGTCAGATGTTATCACGCGGTAAGAGAAGAAAGAGCATCGAGCGAGCCATAGCTCGAGCAAAATAACGAATCATGCAAAATAATCATCGAGAATTTGGCCGAGAACAAGTGAGTAAATTATTTCAAAAGTGAGGAGATCCTCGTAAAATAGACCGGATCTATTCTCGTAGGAAGTTAAATGTCAAATTTCACGACCCTTGAGCGAACAATGAGCAAACGTGACCCGCGGCGTATTTCGCAAACTCGATGCCCCAGAAAGCAAGAAGGGCCTCGGGGCTGTACTTGTAAGTTCGAAGAGCTCGTAGGGTACAAACAAAAACTCATAAAACGGATTGTTTATTATTTGCATTATTGGTTCCCGTGAATCGATCCGCGAGAGAAAGGGACAATATGAAGTTAATTTATTATTTGAATAATAATTGAATCTGTTCGGATTGTTCGAAATATGCATGCTCTTATGTTCAGTTTATAAATAAAGGAATTTACTATTGAAATTGTTGAACAGGAGAGAATATTACTGGTGTAATTTGAAATGTAATGTACATTACGCAAAATGTGTAATTTATATATTAAGTAATTGCCACATCAATCGATACCGCTGCACCGATGGTGAATAAATAAGGTTTGGATAATTGATACTGTATTTTCTACAATTTTCTGAACCTTTTATGGTTAGATTTCATTGCATGCAAGGTGAACGATCCCTATGAACGAAATATCATTAGAGCGTTCACTAGAGAAATGTAAATATGCTAGTGATTTTACTCGTGAGAATTGGAAAACAAATTTTCTTTATTTCACTTAGCTTTACATATAGAAGAATATTGATGTAACAATTGCTCAAATTTATTTGCACTGTTCTATTTATTGATTCTTTTTCACATTAACACACTTATTAATAAACTTATTGTTATGATTAACAATTAATATAATCTGATATATGTTTTTAATACGTTTGAATAATTCTTTCTGTTCATCCTAACCTAAAAGTTTCTGCACAAAAACTTGATATGCTTTCAACCAATGTTTGTATTTTAGCAATTAACATAATCTGATATATATTAATAAATCCTTTCTATTCATCACCTATTTAAACTTAACCTAAATCTAAAAGTTTCTGTACAAAAACATACCATTAATAGATTTTCCTTTTCACATCGAATAGAAAAATTTCAAGATCACCATCACCTTTTTGTTATTCGGAAACAAATTACACGAAAACAAAGTTAATACACTTATATCGTAAAAAGAATAGAAATATTCGTAAACACAACAATCGCACGCAAATGTGTTTCATCATTCTATCATCTACGACTTTCCCTCTTTTTTGTACAAAGTGCAACGATTGCGCGAGCATTCGATAACAGGTCGGGAAGAAATTAGTTTCGTTGAACTTCGAATGCAATGACAAAAGCAAGCTCGTAAGCACTATTTTACAGCCATCCAGCCTTCTTACTTTATGAACAATATCTCGCATGGTAATATCCGATAGTTTCTATTTTACCAGCGAGGTGAACGTGAGCCCACGAAATTACCACAATTATATCGCGATCATTCTTTTGCTCGCCGCTTGTAAAAAGCACGTTCCCGCGAAAACTTTCCTTTTTTAAACAACTCGTGGCTGGAAACTGGCTACTGGAAAATTAAACGCGCCGGTTCTCAAACATTAAGATCCTCCTCGAGATTTTATTAATTATTTGTATGGTAAAAGTTTTCGGCGTTAAGAACAGACGGTGAAAGTTCTTCTTTTTGTTCTTAAACTTATTTTATTCGCATTGTTCCCACATGTGCTGATTAATAGGATACGCGGAGCGAAGAGGAGTGTTTAGAAAAGTAATCGTGAGAGCGTTATATTAATGTATAGTATATATTAATGTATCTTATTCTCTTATCCATGC